AGATCAGCGTCGGCGCACCTGCTCTCGTGCTGTTGACGGCGCAGGCCGCCGGCAGTCTACGCGTCGCCTGCTGGAAGCAGTGCGGCCTCAGTGCAAAGCAGCTGCGAGTGACGCGCGTGCTCGTGGACGCTGTCGAGGTGGTTTGTGTCGCGGGTCACGGATGCGCTCCAGTGACGGCCAGGGTCTCCTTCACGCACGGCCAGACCATCAGAGACGCCGGCGCGATGCCAGTGGTGCCCGAGCTGCTGCCGCCAGCCGTCCCCGACGCTGCAGTTTGCCGCATGCTGCTGCTGCAGCCGTTGGCTTTGCTCGCGATGGGCGGCATGGCCTTGCTTGGCGGCTCCATCGCCTTTGAGACTGCCGCGACAGACGCCTGGCTCTTTCTCCTTGGCGGCCGCGGCTCGATATGGCCGCGCGTTGTCTTTGCCGCCGCCGTCCTTGCGCACGCGGCCGAGGCACAGTGTAGCCGAGATCTGTGCTGCAGTGTAGCCTACACAGAGCCGGGTGCGGAGTATCGCCGTGGACGCGCCGACGCTCTGAGGTGGCATCAATAGGCGGGCGTTGCTCTACGCATCGCCCTCGGCCTCCCGAACGTCGGCCTCGGTGGCGCGCTGCGGTGGTGCGGCCTCACCTTCCTGGTCGGATTTCCCGTCCTGCGCCATTGCCTGGCGTTGCGCGGTAAGGGGGAGTGAACTACGCGGGCTGCATCTCTGGACTCTCTGCGCATGTGCTGCGCATTTTGATTATCACAGACAGTAACCACAACCACAGATTATCAGACAAATAAATAAATAAATAAAACGGGCAAACTCTGAGACGAGATGGGATTTAGGGACATGTGTCCCCGCCCTGCACGATCTTGGTGTGAGGGATCTTCAATCCGTGTCCCCTCACCCCTCGTCACAACCCGACACGGAAGAGCGGCAAGATTTTATCAGAGACATCACTCATGATCACTGGCCATTTCCTCTCGTTGTGTATAGATTTCCTCTTTTTCACCTTGACAAGTTTGAAAATCACATATGACAAACACAGAATACAGTAAATTGTTACACCAACACGGCCGGTAAGGATGCTCCGCCGGCACGAATCTCGCCTTCAAACGCGCGCAGCGCCTCGAGAAAAGCTGATTTGGGCTCGACGAGCGGTCGCGCCTGCTCGCATACATGTACGCCTTCATGGCACTGCGATCGAGGTGTCAGACATGCAGGCTCATCTGTTGCACCCGCTGCACGCGCGTGAGAGCCTCCTCCACGGGCAAGTTGAGCCTGGCAGTGAACGCCGCGCGTGTTAGTGCTGTGCCAGAAACTCGGTGAGCCGTGTGCGGATTAGCAGAGCGAGGACCGTCGCATCACGTATGCGACCGCCATCGTGCCAGAGCGTGACTTGCCCTGCGCGCAGTTAACGAGGACCATCTGGCCCGCCTGTCAACAGCTTTAGGCTTGAAGCGCCTTCGCTGCATGCCGCTGGACGAACACCGCCTTCCTGCCCGCCCGAACGCGATCGGACGCCCACGCGAGGCCACGCTCGAGGTCCTCAAGCGGGATGCGGAAGGCCTCGGAGTCCTCCCACTCTAGGTCAAGTAGTCTGGGAGGACTTTCGAGCCGCAGCCTGCAAAAGGAGACCAAACTGACACTGAGGAGTGCAGCAGATGAGCGGTCAAGGGATGCAGCGTGCGTGGTGTGCCTGTCAAATGCAGCGCGCGTCGCAGGCAGGAAGGCGTGCAGCCGGTACCCTGCACAGTTGAGAACGGCGTTCGTTGCATGCTCCTCCCTGCAGACCGCGAGTGCAGCCTTGTAGCTGCCAACCGCCAACTCTCCCGGCAGAACGACCGAGGACTTGCCGTCATCCTGCGGTCATGCGAAGAGCCCGCAGCATGGTGGGCCAAACGAGGTGACACGAAGGTGTCACGGGACGAGCATGCAAGGAGGTCATTGGGGTGCCACGAGAGCTCTAAATGGGCTGCCTGAGCGTTGAGCACTGCCAGCAGTTGCTCGTCTGTCACCTCCTCACGCGAATGCCTGCGTATATCGAGCCCACACCCAGCACAGCGATTGGCGGTCGCCTTGGCGAGGGGGACGCGTAGGCGAAAGGGATGGCCCTGCGGCGTGGATGAGAAGGTTGCCGCCGAGGCTTGGGACATGTTAGGCCCAGTACCGATACCGCTAGGCGTCTCAAGCCCAGTATCGTCGGTGTGGGCGCGGTATTGGGATCTGGCCGTACCGCGTGCCGCTTCACACCGAGCGCGCCGTACCGATACCGCTACAGTTGTAGGCTCTCCGGCGCCCCGTACCGCTACCCTGTAGCGAGAAAACAGTTTATCTTCAGTCGGGAAGGGTTATTTTGTGTTCGCTCTTGATCCTCACCGACCAATGAGGTATTTTCTCCCCCCCCCCCCCTCTCCCACCACACACACACACACACACACAGAGAGAAGATCTCTTTGTTGGGTTTTCTAAAATCACACACACACACACACACACACTACCACACCCACATTATACACTCTCACTGCCCTCTCACATTCACAGACTGACATACATATAGAATTTAATTTATCCACATAAAAATGGGAAAAAAAACCAAAAAAATATTCCATGGGGGCGAAAAGGGGGGTGCGCCGGGCTTCTTTAATTTTTTTAAACCCCCCC